TAACAAACTGTGATTTATCATCAATATTCCACGCGGTTGGTAAAACAAGACCATTGAACAAAGTAGTCTCTTCCATTACATCCAGATTTTTTATCTAGACTAACGATTTATCTTAGGTGAATTATTGTCAGCAAAATTTAAGTCTAATTTATCTTCATGCATGTTACACAATATCTTCCCATTTCTAATTAGCAGTACGTAGCGGTAGTGTAGTAAAGATGGGGGAAAATGCGCATGACTCTTTCCAAAGTGGTAGATAAAAACTTTTTATCGTGATATCTGCATGCTGTGATCGTTACAACTTATTTATAAATTATTGTGTAGCTTAATAATTTGACCAATTTTATTATAAAATTATAAAATTTTGGGGCTTTTTTTGTGGCCTTTTTATTCAGTTAGATTAGGGTTTAGGGTTAGTATTATTAATTAAAGAGTATGTTGATTTTAGTAGATATTAGATTTAAATAGGACCCTGAATCTCAGCATAAGCCGGAGTGTTACTGTATTTTATTATTGGTACGTATGTGTATTACATGTAGTTCATCATTTTCAATAGCAAACCTTCCAATAATTAAAGCTATATTTTTTTTTCCAGATTTCTTCGACTACTGATGTATATTCAGATCGAAAAGCTTTGAATTTATACTTTACAAATTCATCATCTCCAGCTCTGTATATTGCAACACCAGCTGTATATTTGTTAGCACTTGAAGTGGTTTTGATGAATGAAATTGCGCAGAATATTATTGTACTGGTAATTTACAAGTTAGAAAACATGAAAAGATTTTATTGATAGGATGTGTTAAATTTGTAAGTTTTTTTATTATATAATTTAATGATACATTGTATGATAGATATATAGTAGTGATGTTATCTGGCTTATCGAATTGAATTATTCATGTTTCTTTTTCTTTCTTTATGATTCTGACTGATTAATAATGTTATGCTTCTAATTCATAATTTTCCAATGATAACAAATTTATTTTAATTAATTAATAATAAATTATGAATCAAAGGCATGACGTTATTAGCAATAAAAATGTAATTTAATAAATTAATTAAAATGAGAAAAATCGATGACGTAGGTTAATTTGATATTATTTGATTTTAATACGTATTCTCTTGCTTGTAATATTGCAATCGTTGACATTTTTTATTATTTATTTTTTAATTTCTAATCTGAGTGGCATACCATGAACTTTACTAAAATTAGTTAAAAAGATTTAACTTAAAAAGGAATAATTAGTTTATACGTACGTACGTACGTTTCATTTTCAGCAAAGCCTAATAGGAATTTACCGAGATGATTTATTTTATTTTATCCTCCGAACTAATTATTTAATTTTATTATTATTATTAATGGATGCGATTTTAGTAGGCTCGTAACACAATTAATTATATATAAAGACCCCTTATTCGAAAAACGAAAAATTTTTTAAGCAGGTTATCAGCGCATCTCTTCTCACCACGGGTCGTCTAATAACGCTCAATTAACTTGCGCTCAGTCTAATAGTGCTTAGTCTAATAGCGAGATTCACTACTATGAGTAATTTATTAACCTATACTTTCCTAAATGAACTAAAAATTACCAAATCTGAATACACCAAACTCATCTAAAAGGAAAATAACTGATACACAAACCTTCAAACAATTTCTCTCTACGTAGCGCTAAAATAAGACTTTTATATTGTACTACATGTTATGAATTTAATTTGCTATTTATACAATTACCGCAGGGCCACATTTCCATCAATAGTTCCATTGTGTGTACGTACGTACGTACGTACCCCCTTTTGACAGTTATGGTTAGGGAATGTGTTAATATTGTTCTTTTTTTCATATTAATGAGTCGATTATAGTAAAAGCCTCTTAGAACTAAAGATCTTGTTTATGAACCGTACTAACTCGATTTCAACCATACGCTATATCGATATATATCGATAGATTTTTTTATTAACCACAGTGTATATCACATACGTATCTGTTATATGTTCGAATCGTTTTCACAGTCTTACATATCAAAGTTGGATTTGATAAATTTAACCAATCACAATAGAGCGCAAAGTTTTGAATAATTGCGACATGTTGCGATGTCATGTCGCCTTAATTACCTGTAAAAGGTAATAACAATATTCATTAAGGGAATAATAATTGTTACGGCTGATGCTGAAGTTTGGCTGATGTTGAAGCTAAAAAATCTGATTGGCTAAATTTTGCAGATCACCCTAACCCTAACCAATCAGATTTTTTAGCTTCAACATCAGCCAAACTTCAGCATCAGCCGTCACAATTGTTAAACATGATTATTTGTTCAGAAAAGGAATAATTTACCGCATTAAACTTTATCACATGTAAATGTAAATAAACATATTTTAATGCGATACTCAAAGAACGCATCATATGAGAGAGAATAGTTATTCACAAAAGGAATATTTACCCGCATTAAATTAAATCATGTCGCTTAAGAAAGCTGCTAACGCTGTGTCATCGGTGTCTTAAACACATATAAAATGGTTTTGCTTTCATAAATGCGATACAACTTTAATTCTGTATTTGCGTAAGATAGAAATTCGAATTTTTATTCAACCGTGGTATTAGTATTAATGATATTAATTGTTGCTAAAATATTCCGAAAAGAAATGAGAAAGTTTCGAAAATTGAAAGAAGGACAAGAACTCTTCTATACATAACTGCACGCAAAAAAAAATTCAATACATAAACCGCGCAGTGAGAACTATCTTTTTAAAAAAAAGTTCTCATAAATAAATTTTTATATCATTATTAAATTAATGTTCTCACACATTAATTAAACATAAGAGAACACGGTTTAAAATAACAATATCTTCAATTTTGAGATAATGTTCTCCTGAGAACATGAGAACATGAGAACAAGAGAACATAAGATTTCCAACATTGAAACCGCAATTAGAATGCATTACTTCTATTGTAATTTTCTGTAGGAGTGCTGTCGGCCATTCGGTTCCATTCATTAATCGGTTTTCATAATAGTTAAATATACAAGCCGATAACATCCTAAATTCTCTACAACCGCTTTCTTTTTATTTAAAACCAAAATTTGGTAATGTAGAACATAATTTTAAGCACTTTTATGCAATATCTAATTAAAATATTAAGTTGAACGGTTATAATCAAGAAGAGTTGTTTCGCCAACTAAGTTGACCAATGGAAAATTTGTGAGGGAATTGCGGGGAAACGATAACGAGAATGTATTGCAACTTCCAAATGAAGGAAGAATCGAGCAAATATTTATAGTTTATTTTATTTTATTTTGTTTTAATGTTTAGGTTACCTTTTGATCATGAGACCATTCTTATCTTATTATCGACTTATTACTAGGTAATTAACCGGAACTTTGAGATTTTTATTTATAATATAAGACAATAACAATTACACAATTACACATCGGGATACGAAGGTTTTACCGTTGTAATATATGTAGTGTTGGGTTCGTTTATCATATATCTCTGCGGTGATAATGAATGCTCGAAAAAGATGGATTTTATAGTATGTATTACCTTTATCAAGACTTATTTATTTGTAAAAAATTTAACATTTTTATTGACATAAAATATATAATGTTTTTTATATAATGATTTTTATAGGTAATCTTAACTAAAAAAAAAAAAAAAAAGAAAAAAAAACATTGATGCAGTCATTGAGCATGCTCATTACTTAACTAAATGATACTCCATTGCCGGATCTCTTGCAGTATAGGTGACCCCTTAATAAAATGTATTATTAATCAATTGGCTATAAAATGGGCCACCTATGCTGCAAGAGATCCAATTTACTGACTAAAGTAGTGACAAAGAGAGTATTGAAAAAGGTCTTGATAAAATTATTGAATTGCCATAGATTATAATGGTGTAGTTGATGGTATTTAATAGTAGCTCGAAACCGAGTTGTGATAATTTACTCAACAGCAATGGAATTCAACGCTATAATTGTTAAGTTCGACAGAGTTGTGAGATAAGTGATTGAATTCAATGGTATTGTTCGCATCTAATTGACGTGAGTCGTTAGGCTCGATAGAATTGATGGCATCGTGCTTAAATGATTGATTAGAATTATCATCAGGAGGCAAGTAATTGTTGTTAATATGATGCTGAGATGAATCCTATCCAGAATTAGAGACGTAAAGTTGAGACGGGAAATCAGGAGCAACAAAAGGATCGCTAACATAAAGTCCAAATGAACGATTAGAATTGGTAACATCGGTAACAATATTCTGAGACGAGTAATTGAGTGTAGAATCAGAATTGTTATTTAGTCGAAATGAATTGTCAGGATCAACAGAATTGGTGACATTGAGCTGAGACGAATTATTAGGTTGATGAAGTTGAGGAGATTGTTGAGATCTAGAATCACTAATGTGAGGCTGATGTAAGCTATCAAGACCAGATACAACATTTGCGGCACAAAGTTGAGATAAATGGCTAGGTTCTGAGTCTGAATCAATAAATCCGTAGTGTTGAGGTAAAGCGCAGTCTGTGCATGATAAAGGCGGATAGTCCGGTGTGGTGATTGATGTGTTAGGCACAATCGATGTGAGCTGTGGCTGCAATAACAATTTTACGAGAGCCCCGATTTTTTCTATGCATACGTATGTGTTGTAATTTTAATACTCAAAAATTGACTTAAAAAAATAATTTGCATGCTTAATCTTACCTTGTGTCATCTCAAGTTTAAGACCATTATTAACATCATTATTAACATTAACGTTAATATATAATTTATCGGCCTCTCGACTAAAATCATATTCAATCGGTTTGTCTAATAAAATAATATTGTAAGAATGATAAATTATTAAAATATATATATATATAGAAGTCAGATAGTTACCTTCTTCAGTTTCCTTACAATTTCGACATTTTACTAACTTTTTTTTATCTTTATTGTCTTTATTCTTTTTGTAGCATTTTTTACATTGAAATATACATGCAGTCTTCTTTTTCGTGCACTTTTTGCATCTAAATTTTCCTGGTATATCATTATATTCACATTTTTTCTTTTGCATACGGCAACAAGCGCATTTGTTTGAAATATCATGAATCATGAGTTTAAAAAAAGAATTGGAACACAACAGGCGAGTATGATCTTGCTATATATATAATACCCTTTATTCATATTCGAACAAAAATTTCGCAAATTTTAATTCAAAATGTTGGGCTGGTCAATCTTTGGGTACAAGGCATAAACAATCCGATTTATTTTTCGCAAAAAATCTTGCGATAGCTGCTATATGTTATAGAAAGCTAACTTCCGTTCTTACTTTAAATAAATAAGTAAGATGGGTGAAGCAAGGATAATAAGGAACGTTATTGCCCTGAACAAGACCATTTTAACTCATTACTTTTATCTTAAATAAAGTCGTGAGCGCAGCCCTCATTCGTAAAAAAATTATATATATTATTAAGTTGTTACATTTGTTGTTTTAATTGTTTGGGACACAAATCAAATATCGACAAATTTTTTCGGAAAAGTATTTAAATGAATGATTTATTTGGAATTTCCTTAAAGTTATCAAAAAAAATTTTTGTTTTTTAAACAAAGCAGATGGGTAATGAATTCTGCCAATAGACGTTACAAAATTGTAACTTTATTTTGGATAGTATATACATTATTTATATTTGATTAATAAAGGTTGAAATTTACTAATTTATTACATGGAGCATCTTGAATGTCGAAGAATTCAGGCCTGTATTCCTTGCAGAAAGTCAAGGAGAAAATGCACTGCCAATTTTTTACAGCAAACATGTGAGAGATGTCAAAGAAATAATTTACAATGTATCTTTACAGATACGAAAAAACGTGGACCTAAAGTGCAAGAAATGCCAAATCAATTACACTTTACACATAGTCTACAACCATTGAATGAAATTAATCCTAGCCTAAATTCACAGGTTAGTAATTATTATTTGATAAATATTTACTTATAAATATGTATTAGAATTAAAAAAAGATTCCAATTTCAAGGATAATCTGGTAGACGAGATACTATCGAATAGATGTGCAAGTTGTTACGAACACAAAAAAGCATGTAAGCATAATGGAACTTTAGGAAAGTTTAGATGTGAGAGGTGTAGGAATAGGAAAATAGAATGCTTGATTCAATGCACAGAATGTTATAAAAAGAATAAAGACAAAAAAGATAGTTTCCCACAATGTTCAAATTGTAAAGTGACTAGAGAAGGTAATGAAAAATATTTAATTTATATAATTACAGTAATTGCTATACAATTAATTGCTGATAGAATAATATTTCTTATTCTATATTATTTTATATGCAAGACCCTCC